AGTTCTTACATTTCTACCAGCTCTGTTAAAATTTTGTTGATATTTATTTATTCTTTCACCTCTTAATTAAATCTATTACCTTTTCAAAAGATACACATTTTTCAAATAAAACTTTCGTAATTATATAAATCGTACAATAAAAAGTATGGAACTGATACGGAACGGAAGCTTACGTATAACGTCAATACAAAAAAATATGGGCGGACGGAATGGAAACGGAAGTTATAGTGAGAATCAACTTTTAAGTTGGTTGCTGCTTGGGTATAAGCCACTAATACTCGATTTTTATAAAATAATTGAATCAAGATCAAGGGAACACAATAGACTGCGAGTAACCACTACAATTGATCAACTGGTATTACGAGTATATTATCGATAATTAACATATCGAATTTAATTTAGTTTTTTATAACTAAATATTCAGTTTTCTACAGGCTAGCCGCAGACCCCATTATATTTATCATACAGTCGTATAATCATGAATTCTACGTTAAAGGAATCTTGTGTCTCCCCCCCTCCATGACTACTACTTGATAGTAATAGTATGCAAAGTTTAAGGTAAACAATTTATGTTATCCTCCTATGTGAATTCCGATATTTTTGCAGCTTCTTTTCGATTCCTTTTATAAACTTAACAAAAGAAAACATGATTGTCAAAAAAATAGTGTCGATGTTTTTAAGTTCTGACACAATACTCTTCTAGATTTACTCTGAACAAAACCAATTGTAGAATAATTGAATCGGTCATTTGAGAAAGGGATCATTTCCAAAATTTTCAAAATCCCGTTTTTATCAGCTTTAGAATCTAACGCTCTAGACGCATGTTCTGTGTGAAAACGAGCCATCTCTTGATATAGTTTCCTAATGATTTTAGGTAGTGTATAATAACAGTCATTATGAAAATGGGACATCTCCCAGAGATGCTTCTTTAATGATTCTTTATAAACTAAGTTTGCTCTAACACACCACTTTACGATTGATATTGACCAATCGGATAGACGCTGATTATAGCATATGATAGACGGAAAACAAATTTGAAGTTAAACATGTCACTCATCAAGACATAGCTGCTTTCTAAACCTGGTGGCCTAAGTATTTAAAAAAAAAGTTCTTTCTTTGCGTAGCATTGGCAAGGAGGTTTCCAAAGAAAATAAGTCGAGTTTTGCAGTTAATCAGTATTATGAGTTTACCTTTGATTGTAAAGAACCCAGCGTTGTAATCGCAAAACCGTACATCGATAACGTGTTGAAGGAACGCTTTCTTCTTGCAAAGACTATGCAGACTGATACTCCACCTCTGGTAATTTCTAAGTGTCAAAACAACCCTGCGTATCAAGGAAAAATACCTATCAATGAGAAAAAAATCAATGACCTGAAAAAACAAATATTCTTCAATATATCTTAGAAAACTTTAAAGCATTTTACGATGGGATCTGTGAGTGGCCTACTACGAATGCAGATGAGCCACCAGACGAAGGATATTAATGTGTTTCCCAAGGATTTTTTTGTTCAGTGTTTGTTGTAGTTTAAATTTTTAAATTATTAACAAAGTAATAATATTTTTGTTAAAATATGTCAGTTTTGTTTGGTTTTTGGGTTTTTTCGTTGGTTCATTTTGAAAACGGGTCATCTCAAAACTAGAAAAGGTAAAAAAACTAAATTTCGAACATCCTGTATGTGTAACCTAAATTTTTTAGGTTAATCTAGTAACTTTTATCCCCTATTATCATAAAATAAATTTAAAACAACATTTTTCTGAAAAATACTTATTTGAGACGTTTTTTGTCTCACCTGTATAATTTGAAAAAGTGGACATGCCACCTTTCCCAGATGAACGATTCAATTAATAAATAACTTAAAGTATTTAGGTATTTCTTAACTAAATCTAGACAGTTCACTTGACAAATTATTCCAATAACTGGGCAGATTTGATTGCGAAAATGACTGATACCTAAATAAATCAAATTTCACCCATTACAAATGACACTTTGCCTGTAACACCGACGAATCTTACAAAAAAAATCAACGATACACAAAGCTGTTCCAATGGAGAGAGTATTTTTAATCAAAATAAATATAATTTATCATCATTATATAATATAAGTATACTTCATTTCTAAATAAACCCTTTGACTTTTCAGCTAGCGTGTTACCTTCCTTTACCGCATATTTATTTTTCCGAACTACGCCGTCAGTTTAAAATTTAAAAACCTCTCACCTCGCTCTGCTCTCTTTGAAAAGAATTTTTCTTGCTTTTTGTATTGGTAAACACCAAAATAGAAAAAAATGAAGGTAAATTTCAACAGGAAGAAAATAAAATAATTCTCGGCTGGCAATACTTTGCGAAAAATGGATATGGCAAAAGTGGAAAGTTAAAAAGACGAAGAAGAAAAGAGAAAACATTTTTTGTTTCATTTTTATTCTTCCGGTTTTCTTTCTCTCCTTTAGTTTTTAGTTCGAGCAAAAGATCTGGATATAATAAAACTAGAAATCAGCTGTCTTTTTTGGATTTCAACAAGAAGAAAACGAAACCAGGAATACAAAGATTATTGAATATCAAACATTAGAGGTTGTTTATTTACTTACTCTTAAGACTCACTAGTCCGAAAAAGTAACAAAATAAACGTTTAGCATTTAACGGTTTATACAGGGTGGCGGACCTCTTTCGCCTCGGTTGATTATACGAAAACGGAAAAATGTAGAAACAAAATATTTTGTGGGTATATGTGGGAAGGTAATGTGCACAATTTAAAATTATTTTGAAATGTACGGGGTTCAGGTATCAATTTGAAAAGCTGACAAACGGCGGTTTCTAAGTGATAAACTTACAATAAGTCCACCGCCACCGTCTCGATTAGAAGTTCTCATGCGAAGGTTCCTGGACGTCTAGATTGGACGTAGCCATAATTTAAAAAACACTTAGTATACTCTATTAAGTATTATTAGTATTAAGGTATTTTTGGAACTGGAATTTTATAGGAAATTCACTGAACTAAACAAATATAGATATATATTTGACTCGCCCTGTATATCTATAAAAATATTTTTGAAATGTGAACTTCATTGAATCATTAAACATATATTTTGTAAAAGGTTTGGAGTGAAAATCTCAAATAGGAATCTTGATACAGAGTTTTTCCGGAATACGGATCCATCTTGTATGTATGCATTTGTATACAGGGTGGCCCATCGAAAACGTTCCGCAAGGCATAACGGCCAGGGTATTTTTTTTTAGAAAATTTAAAAGCACGTCAATTTTGTTTGTGAGGGGGACAACTTTTGCCCCAAAAATGATTGCAAAATCTTCAACCCTCTAAGCGGGGGTGTCATCCCCCAACTTTTTTCAAATGGGAAGGGGGGTCAAGTGGTACCGCAATGAAAAGGGCTTTTTATTCTCTATACTTTCCTGCTTCGTTTTTGAAAATCGGTCGAGTCATTGAGAAAATATGAAGGATTGAAATTTGAAAAGCTTATTTTATCAGAGTAAATGATAAGGATAAATTCCTTCGACCAATTTGCTGTTTTTTCTTATTATTTCTAGATGTTTACGCATTTTTTCACTTGCCACAAGGTTGAACGATCAGGTGCGGCAGTTGCTAGATAGCTGTTCTGTGACTTGGGCGTTGAAGTCCTTCTCAATATCGTTAAACTTTTTAACAATTATGGTGTACTCACTTGCAGAAAAAGTAGAAATAATCGAACTTTATTTTAAAAATAATGAATGTAGCAATCGGGTTCCGCAGATATTCAATGAATGCCATCCTGAAAAACACCTTTATAGCAAAATTGTTCGCGAATTAGTAGCAAAATTTCGCGAAACTGGTTTCGTTATGAATAAAAAGAGTCAGAGGGAAAACCCTGTAGTAAATGAAGCTATGGAGGTATTCGTATTGGGCCAAGTTGCCATGGATAGTTCGCTGAGTACAAGAAAATTAGCCAATGAGACCGGCGTGAATCGTACAAGTGTCCAAAGGATATTAAAAAATACAAGTTACACCCGTACAAAATTCAGTTGGTACAAGAACTCAACGAAGACGATTTTGATCGTCGCTTGCAATTTTGTGAAACTGTGAGTGAACTAGTTGCGAATGATAATAATTTCCTATTTAATGTGTGTTTTTTGGATGAGTGTACTTTCTTTTTGAACGGTGTAGTTAATCGGCATAACTGTCGGTACTGGGCTGAGGGTTTTTTCACGAGGCGCATACACAAAACCCTCAGAAATTGAACGTGTGGGCTGGTATTTTTGGAAATTCTATTTTGAGTCAGTTTAACGATATTGAGAAGAACTTCAACGCACAAGTCACAGAACAGCTATCTAGCAACTGCCGCACCTGATCGTTCAACCTTGTGGCAAGTGGAAAAATGCGTAAACATCTAGAAATAATAAGAAAAAACAGCAAATTGGTCGAAGGAATTTATCCTTATCATTTACTCTGATAAAATAAGCTTTTCAAATTTCAATCCTTCATATTTTCTCAATGACTCGACCGATTTTCAAAAACAAAGCGGAAAAGTATAGAGAATAAAAAGCCCTTTTCATTACGGTACCACTTGACCTCCCTTCCCATTTGAAAAAAGTTGGGGGATAACACCCCCGCTTAGAGGGTTGAAGATTTTGCAATCATTTTTGGGGCAAAAGTTGTCTCCTCACAAACAAAATTGACGTGTTTTTGGATTTTTTGAAAAAAAAATATCCTGGCCGTTATGCCTTGCGAAACGTTTTCGATGGTATTGTGTGTTTACTTAAATACTTAAAACTTTCGACTGTATGTGTGTTTATTTAAATACTAAAGTGAAAGCAACGAATTTAAATGGGTAAACTTTTTAATATATCTTATTAACAATACAATGGAAAAAGTTTTATAAAAATTCGTTCACAGTAAATGAATTCCGAGGTTTGTATCCCATAAGGGCTTAAAGCACTCAACTATAAAGCAGAATGTAATTTACTACTGAGAAGTAGTAAATTACTATGGAGAAGTAAATAAAAGAAAACAATAACGACAAGAACGTCTTTATTTATTTTATACTTTAAATACATTAATATATTACAATGATAAAAACAATGAGATGATCTTAATTACTCTTTCTTATATGCAACTCTCCTGTATCCGGTTCGATGTGGTGACGACTTCCGGGCCGCGGTACTTGTGCGTCAGCGTTTGGGATCCGGCGATGGCCGGCGGCGGTACCGGGTTCGTCCGGCACGGCCTCTGGAGGCTGCGGTACATCTGGAACAAACGAGACGTTTAGTTAATCATAGAAGACACTCATGTGTTACAACTGAAATTAGTATACTGAATAGTGAGGCAACCATTTGAGAAAAATCCAAAATTAATTATCCAAAATGTGTATTATTGGGGGTTTTAGTATATTTTTTACCAGATTCGCATTAATTAATAGAAATATTTAATATATATTTGAGCCATGCTTAGGTTGGTATATATCTTTTAGGGAAACACCAGAACACTTTATCATTGAGTGCGCCGAGACGACGACCATTCGTGCCATGAACTTTGGTACCGCTGATGTCGAGGATGGAGAGCTGGCCTCTGTGGAGCCGTCTCAGATACTGACTTTTGTTAAAGCCCTGAGACTGTATGATGAGTTATAAACTCGTTATAACTCAAGAAAGGGGAACACACAATAGATATGTAAGGTCGCAGTGATTAACTCCCCTCCTAAACATTCTACATTCTACATATATATTTTAAGGGCAAGATTTTATTTACAGGCTATGTTTTTATAATGAATGTGTATGTACCCTCAGTTTTTATATCTAGGGATGAGCTATAATGTAATTAATATATCACACTGTTATGACTTTCAATCTGTTCCATGGCTATTAGCCCAGTCAAATTAGAGAAATTGGTGGAAAAAAATCCCACAGTTTTGAAAATGGTTTTAAATTATTTTTCTATACTTGGGCTGATATGTGTCAAAAGTCCCCGAAGATAGACGAAAGTCCCCGAAGATAGACGAATAAATTTCCTAAAATCGGCTTGTCCAAAATTGTTCAAATTTGGCATGTGTGTTTACCAAATGTAGACCTTTAAAAAGTCTATTTACGAGTTCGCTATAAAATCCACATGGGAGCCAATATCTGGACAGTTCAAATTTTGCATGGGATTTTCTATGCTCCCAACGATGATGCAACACTCGGTATAGGCTTGGTGCATTTCAGTTGATTCCGATCGCAGATCGCAGCGCTGGATACGGCAGAATTAGGAGTGCCGGGTATAAAGTGTTGTTTTGAGGTCCGTGAATTTACTTTTTAATTAAACCAGGTCTTTTTACTCTTCACGAGTTTTATTTCTGTTAACAATTACAAGAACAAAAACTAAAACGAACAACAAACAACAACACAAACAAACTGCCGCCATATTCTTATTACTCTATTTTATGTTACTAGGAACCTTATAAAAACAAACTTACTAACCTATTCTTAGTGCTACCAACCGTAAATACATGGGTTATGTTAATTTACCATTGTCCCAATAGATGGCGTATAAACATAAAGTACGAGGCATGTTTTTTAAGTAAGTACCGTTTTGCGATTCCGCCGCCGCAGCGCTACGGTCGGCGTTCCGCGCATGCGCGCTGGCTACCTCCATCTCTTGTCTATGCACAGACGCCAGTACAGTCTGATTCTTCATTGTATACGTTGTTTATTGAGTGTTTAAGATGCCTCCGACAATCGTGAGCCCCGCCGATTGTGAAGTACGGGCTGTCATACGATTTCTTAGTGCTAAAGGCGTAAAACCGATCGATATTCATCGTGAGATCTGTGAAGTTTACGGACAAAACATTATGAGTGATGGAATGGTAAGGAAATGGGTGAGAGCATTTAAAGATGGCCGCACAAATGTGCATGATGAAGAACGGAGTGGGCGTCCTTCGGTCGTTAATGAAGATTTGGTGCAGAAAGTGGACGAAAAGGTGAAAGAAAACAGACGCTTTACAATTTCATCATTGTGCGACTACTTTCCTCAATGTTCTCGTAGTGTTTTGTATCGCATTGTGACCGAGAACTTGAATTACCGGAAATTGTGTTCACGTTGGGTTCCGAAAATGTTGACGGATTTGCACAAAACCCAACGTTTAGGCAGTGCATTGACTTTCCTTGAGCAGTACCACAATGAAGGTGAAGATTTTTTAGACAAAATTGTTACTAGTGACGAAACATGGGTGGCCTACGTCACACCAGAATCGAAACAACAGTCCATGGAATGGCGACATTCATCATCACCCAAAACAGTGAAGTTTAAGCAAACAATTTCTGCCTGGAAAATCATGTGCACAGTTTTTTCGGACAGAAAAGGAGTATTGCTAGTGGAGTTTCTGCCTCGTAATGAGACAATCAATGCAGCATCTTATTGTGAGACATTGAACAATCTGCGCCGTGCAATCCAAAACAAAAGACGTGGCAAGTTGAGTAAGAGTATTGATTTGCTGCATGACAATGCCCGTCCACATGTGGCTAATCGGACCAAAGATCTCATCAAATCTTTTAAATGGGAAACTCTAGATCATCCTCCATACAGCCCTGATCTGGCGCCCAGTGACTACCATTTATTCCTGCACTTGAAGAAACACCTGGGCGGTCAGCGTCTTCAAGACGATAACGAAGTCAAAACAGTTGTGATACAGTGGTTAACCAGTCAGGCGGCAGAATTTTATGAGGAGGGTATTGAAAAACTGGTGCCACGTTATGACAAGTGCCTCAATATTCACGGAAATTATGTAGAAAAGTAGATTAAGGTACAGGCTTTCATGTAAAAATAAAATTATTGCGATATCTTTGCACGTTTTTTTTAATTCCAAAACGGTACTTAGTTAAAAAACATGCCTCGTATTTCACCGTTGATTGAAGAAATAAGAAGATGCGCAACCTTATGGGTAATTTCGTGATACAAAACCTGTCCGAGATGTAGCTGGCGTTACCGTCAGCCTGTCCGAGAATTCCGAGATTTAGTTTAGCCCTGCCCCGCTGCGCGCTGATAGTCCTTTACAGCGCGGCGAATAAAGAATACTGTATCGTAGTTCTGCTTTCAGTCGACAGAATGGGTGATTACCGGAGACAGTGTTGCCAGAACTACTGATTAATCCGTAGGTTTATGGATTTTGGGTACAGTACGTTAATAATACGGATTTTCTATCATCAAACAATTTAATATAATATTTATGATTAAACAAAGAGCGGCGTCAGAGTTGGCTCGGAAATGAAGATCGTTGTAATTTCATATGTACAATATTATGGTAAATGTCAATAGTTGTAATTTCCAAGCCAATTAAACGACTTTTTTCGATCATACGAATTATTTAGTACCTATAAAAGAATTTTTATTTTTGTTGTTTATTCTATGTTTATCACGAATAACTTTTCAATACACAAACGCGGATTTTTCATCCAAAGATATTTTCGTCAAACGTATTACAGATATTACACATTTTAATATGGCAACACTGTCGCTTTTAGTTCTACACCAAATACGTTTAAAATAAAGTATACGGAGGTTACCGCTTAAATTCCTGTCCCGATATTGAAGGATGGCTATAGAATTTCAATGCATTTCCTACATAAGTCTATCCTTGGTTTGTAGGAGGTTTGACTAAACAAGGATGAACCTATGTCTTGAAACCATTCGACTCGATTTTCTGCCTCCTTCAATACTGGGACGCAAATCCTCTCATTGCTCTGATGGGGAGGCCGTCGAATATTTTATTTAAACGTATTTGTTCTACACCGTCTTCGATTTGCCTTTGCTGGCCGAATTAGAGAAAATCAGTGTTTTATGCGTTGGCCGCAGAACGATTGGTGTCTCCACCGTACAGCACTTGAGACTAGTGAAGTGTCGGTATTTGAGTAACGCGATTTTGGAGCGGTATTTTTTTGTAACGTCGTGTCACGCTCCACAACGAATCAGGAACCTGTTACTGAAGAACGACGATCATAATGACGACAAAATTTTAAATTATTTATAATTTGCAAATAAATTATTTATAATCGCTCTTGAAGTTAGCTCGTAGTCAACAGTAGTAACCGCATAGCGACGTGTTTAGCTCCAGCCGTCGCGATTTTGTCGGTCGCCAACAGTAGTATCTGGAACTGGTATGTCCGTAAGGCCGCGCGATCTCGATCGGGACGTGTTCGCTCCAGCCGTCGCGCTCCTAGAGTTGTAGTTCCCTGTCGCGAACAGAAGTAACTGCTGTAACTGATTATCGACGCTCGACCTCGGCGGCGACGTACTTCATTCCAGCAGTCGCTGGAGCGCTTCTGGGTTCCGTTTTCTTCTGTCGCGATTTGGTCGGTTGCTATTGGCGTTGGTGCTCCCGTCGCTACGTTACTTTCAAAATAGCGATTTTTGGTATGTACTAGGCATGGTATAAAATAGCGCTGTTAGAAAGATGAAACGTAAAAGCAAATCAAATAAAATATAAATAATGATTCTAATTATGTCATTTTCTTATTGTTTAGGTTTTTAAAGCAAACATATTTTAAGAACAAAAGATAGAAAAATGTAATTATCTTACAAATGTGTTTTTTTCTTCTTTAAATTGCAGCGGTTATAACGTCGATCAGAAGAATATAAATCTAAATTATTATTGTAAAAAATAAAAATTCTTCACTCTGGATAGATGGTGAATAAAAAGTATTGAATACCAATAAATGCATGTACATATTTTAAGTCAATTCTATTCGTGCTTAAATAATAAAAACAACGTCAGTTTAGGGTATAGGTCATATTTTTTATTTTATTTAATAGTTTAATTTCTAAAATTGAAACCTAACATATTCTAACTGTCATAAATTCTTCTAGTCATCCTGTATTGTTGAAAAATTTGTCTATGAAATTGTTTATTAATTTACACGGGTACAGAGATTACGGCAAGGTTGGGAGTAGTTGCAGTTTTTAAAAAACGGTGGTGGAAAAGTCAATAAATCTGAGCAAAATCTATTTTGAGGTGGCAGAATGTAGAAATGAGTGGGAGGGGGTTAATCACTGCGACTTTACAGATCTAACGTGTCCTTCTATCTTGAGTTATAACTCATCATACAGTCCCAGGGCTTTGACAAAAGCCAGTATCTGGGACGGTTTTATAGAGGGAAATTCTTCATCTCCAATATCAGTTGTACCTAAGTTCATGCCACGAATGGTTGTAACAGCTGGTACAATTGTAAGAATCTGACAACGCTGGTTGGGAGCAGGTAACTAATGCCAGAAATACTGCATAAGCGAGGAACGCGACACTGTGTAAGTCGGAACCTCGATTACAAAATAGCGGTATTTTGTCGCGGTATTTTTCTGGAACGGTCGCTACTGTAACGCGACTCATGTGGAACCGGTATTCCCATCACTACTAAGGGAGGAGACGTAAGGAAAAATCAAATCAGCCTTGACACGAATTCGTCCATTAGGTTATGTATCTTCCCAGTTCTTTAAATCAACGATAACATTCTATAATACACCCAAAGTTATCAGGCCTCGGGTTTTTAAAATAGTAATTAAAATTTAATAACTTATGTTTCAAAGTTCAAAGCGCTGGATAATTTAATGAATATTCCAAATTCGATATAAATAATCATTTATTTATGAGAATTTATTCTTCTTCTACGTTTAAAATTATGCCCTATTTGATAAAATGTTATGTGGTAAATTTATTTGCTGCTTAGAAAGGTAACACAGTACTTAAATAACAGAGATATCTAAAGCATATTGGTGGTGTAAATTATGTTATCAAATTATCAAAACACATACCGTTTGACTTGGGGCATGTATCTCTTTGGCAACGTGCTTGAAAGCATAACCCTCGCCATCATCTTCTTGATCGTCCTCTTCTCTGCAGCCCGGTGGTTCATATTCGTAAACTTGCATGAAACCATGAAGAGGGCGTCTCTCTGCAAATAAAAGAAATTATTTTAGATATCCTTTAATTAATTTGTAAACAGCAAATTTCAAATTAAATGAAAAAAGTCAGAAGCCATCAAGATTAAAGGAGGAGTAGGGCATGGATGATTTTTTCCCTTCCCAGTCGCCAGAAATTGCCCTCCTATAATACATTCTGCATGTAAACTAAGCAGTATCAGATGGTTAGTTTATTAGGAAAATGACGTTATGTGTAAAGCAAGTGTGTGTTACAAAGTTAAAAAAGTTGTTAACCATTTTTGAAATAATCTCAATAGTGGAGTGCTTTAACTGGCTTTAAGCCTTTATGAGATACAAACCTCGGAATTCATTTACTGTGAACGAATTTTTAAAAAAGGATTGTATTGTTAATAAGATATATTACAAAGTTTACCCATTTAAATTCGTGGCTTTTACTTTAGTATAATATACATAACTACAAGATGGGGGGCTCCATATTCCCCTGAAAAGCTCTGTATCATTTTCACTCCAAACCTTTTATAAAATATGTGTTTAATGGTATTTCACATTTCAAGAATATTTTTATAGATATAGAAGGTGAGTCAAAGATACAGGGTGGTTCGAAATGCATTCCGGAAACTTCGGTAGCATATTCTGCAGATAAAAATAGGTAAAAAAGTTCGTATAAATGTATGCCCAAAAATGCTTAGTTTCGGAGATACAGGATGAAGAAATTTCATTTTTATTTCGATTTTTCCAAATAATTTCTGAAGTAACGTCAATATTTAGATGAAAATTGGTGTCTGGAAGTTTTTTGATATGAGAAATTTGATTTTGATGTCAATATGACTCCTACTAGTAGAGGGCGCCACCTACATGTGGTTTAACCGTTTTGAAGCGCAATAACTTTTTGTCCGTACCTGTATAAAACTACCGAGGGAAAAATATACATCTCTGTGATTTTTTACGTAAAAAATATCTCTTTGTAAAAATCGCTAAGGGCAACCGTTCTCAAGATATTGAGAATGGAAATAATCCAATAATGGAATCAATACATGCCATTATTAACGAAAAATAAACACACTTTGAGTTAGATAGTTATTTCACTGAAATAATAAATTTGGGAATTTTTTTTTTTAAATTAATCATATTTTTTCTGCAAAAAAAAATGATGATAAAACAGTTTTTGTTGAACTTTTGGTACAAAAACATTTCAAATTTATGATCTCAGTCTAATAACTATTTAGTCAACGTGTTTAATTTATGTCAGTGATGACAGGTATTGATAATTTCGATTCCAAATATCTCGAAAACCATTACTCGTAGCGATTTTTACCAAGAGACCTTTTTTACGTAAAATGCGTCGTGAATGTATATTCTTTTACTCATTAGGTTTATACAGGTACGGACGAAAAGTTATTACTCTTCAAACCAGTTAAAAAATATGTAGGTGGTGCCCTCTACTAGTAGGAGTCATATTGATATCAAAATCACATTTCTCTCAAAAAACTCCCAGACACCAATTTTAATCCAAATATTGACGTTACTGCAGAAATTATTTGGAAAAAATCGAAATAAAAATGAAAATTCTACACCCTGTATCTCCGAAACTAAGCATTTTTGGATATACATCTATACGAACATTTATACTTATTTTTTTCTGCAGAATATGCTGCCGAAGTTTCCCGAATACAGTTCGGACCACCCTGTATATCTATATTTGTTTAGTTCAGTGAATTTGCTATAAAATTCCTGTTAATAATAAAATACCTTAATACCATAGAGTATACTAAGTGGTTTTTGAATTATGACCCCGTCCATGAGGACGTCAATCTAGTATCATGTCGTCAATCATGAGTACGTCTAAGAACCTTCGTATGAGAACTTCTAATCGAGACGATCGACTTATTGTAAGTTTATCGCTAAGAAAATGCCGTTTGCCAGCTTTTCAAATTGATAGAGGAAGATCTCTAAGAAGAAGATTAAATGAAGAAAATCTTATGTCAAGAAGGTCTGCTTCGAGACTAGAACTTACCAGATGTGTTGACTAGGCCCCAAAAGCAAAGGCATGGTCTTAATGTAAAAATTACGAGAAAATGTTAATGTCTTTTTCAAAAGCGAATATTTCCAACAAAAATAAAGCTAATGAGATGAATCGAAAAACAAACCATCCAAAAAGGATGTATCTAGATGATAAAATGATTTTTAAATTTCTTGCTGTTTTAACATATTCCACCTTCCCTAGGAGATGCAAGACCTTGTCGTTGGTGGGGAAGCTCCTGGTCAGGTGCTGGGGGGAATCCCCTCTAGCACTTGGCTTGGTCTAAGAAGCATCTCACTCATCGTCTTGTCCCTGACTGTAGTGTCGTGGCCAGGGAATTGCACCAAGACATATAACGATACCGGGCGGGGCTACGGACAGCTCAACCTTGGGGTACCGGGGGCACCCCATTGTATTACCCCTTACTTCTACATGCGGGGCTCTGTAGAAGTGGACCGACTGTCCCTAGCGACTCATAGGAACACTATGAGATCTGATAATAATAGTAATAAAAACATCATCGGTGAAGCTGTGGAGAAACCCTCTAGCGACACTGGGAACAGTAACAATGAAAGTTCCAAGGGGCCAAACCCAAAGAGAACTACAGGAGAGGTGGCTGACACTTGGGTGAGACCATCCTCCGCAAGTGGCATACAAGCTACCACCTCCTCCAAGGGTCGGGAGCCTACCTTCTACCTCTAAACCCAACAGGCGACACAAGCTACCGTTTCGTCTACCCGGCCTGGGTCGTAGCTCCTCGACTGTGAGGGACACGGGTCTCCGTAGGAAGTCCTGGGACTGTATGATGAGTTATAACTCAAGAAAGGGGTACACAATAGATCTCTAAGGTCGCAGAGATTAACCCCCCTCCCACTTATTCTAATTCTAATTCTAACATATTCCACAGGGTGTTTCAAACTTTCACCAAAATATCAACATTTTGTTTTCCCTCGTATAATTAACAGATGGGGAGTTTCATTTTTAATTTAGAAAAAGATACTAAAAAGTCAAATAATTTGGATACACACTACTTAAAATATCATCAAAATCAGTCTATTAAAACAAAATATATTAACCTTTAAAATACATAAGAGTTTTAGGGTTTTTCAAAGTTTTCGTGCCGGTGAATGTATTTCAAAAACTATACATTTTAGTCATATACTTTTCTAATAAAACAAACCTTTATTTTTTTACTAGAATCCAAAAATCAGTTAATATATAGGGTGTTCCATTACAAAAAACATAACTTTGATGTGTAACTTTTTTTGGGGACACCCTGTAGAACTCTACATAATTTTAGAAAATGCATTAAATTGACTTACATAAGTTCACAAAATTTCACGCGCCACCCTGTATAATTCGATTTCAATCAAAATTTCAATTATTAGAATATAAGCAGAATAGGTATAGCTTATGAATTAGATTTATTTATTTCGATTAATTTACCTAGAAAAATAATTTAAAAAATCAAAAAATTAAGAAGGAAATAATTAAGAATTTACTAAAATTACTAAAATAAAAAATTAAAAGCAACGAAAAAAAAATGTGTAAACATTTTAGTATTTTATCTAACCAAACCAAACTAAACACAGTACAGAAGGTTTCATATTAATACATCACAGTAAGTAATTGAATTCCGAGGTAAAAATCTTTGGGCACTCCACTACAACTACTATCATCTACTAGCCATTTTGTTATAAAATATCTTACCATATTGATTCCTAATAATATCTGGATCGGTGGCTTCGATGGTGTTTCCATTTCTGATAGCTTCAGCAGTGATTGTGTGCTCGATTGAGCTATTGGGGGTGCGCACTCCTGTAATGGAGCCGTCCACGATCAGGTCATCCGCGTTGATGACCGCCTCCATGGGGACGTGTTTAGTACTATTAGCATCGGGCCTGGAAAAAATAAATTACATTTGAACAGATATGAAGACTGAACAATGTACAAAAGATTGCTGTATTAATTATTATAAAAAAAATAATATTGAGTTATAATATTATTAAGACAAACTGGCTATTGCATACCTAGCCTATAGTTTATATGGCTAGGTTAGGTGACAACACAAGGAGTGTATATGGTATCTGGCGCCGAATATACTTTTTTATTTTAATGGTTGGTGTATGGTGAAATTGTGACCGCATTATTAAAGTCACCATCCGTACAAAACCTACTAACATGCATCTTATTCAGGTATATATGCCTACAACTGACGCAGATGACAAACAAGTTGAGGATATTTATCAAGAAATAGAACAACTAGTATCAGCCACACCCAAAAAGGAACCCCTAGTCATTCTAGGTGATTTCAACTCCAAGGTGGGAAAGTCAGCTGACAATAACAACCTACAAAATATTATAGGAATGTACGGACTTGGAGACAGAAATGCCAGAGGAGAGAGACTTATACAATTTGCAATAGACAACAATCTTGCAATAACAAATACCATGTTCAAACAACACCCTAGACGATTGTCAACTTGGACCTCACCCGATCAAAAAACGAAAAATAAATTGACTATATCTTAATAAGCGGTAGATGGCGGTTATCTGTTACCAATGTTAAGACAAGACCTGGCATGGTATGTGGATCAGATCATAAAATCCTAGTGGCAAAGTTCCATCGTAAACTACAGGCAGTGAAATTGATCAAAACGAAAAGGTATTCAGTACCTACTAAAGAAGAAATAATGAAAACAATGAAATCGGTAAAAATGCCCACACTAAAAAATGACGTACAAGAAATGTGGAATGACACTAGGACTTGGATAAATGAAATAGTTAAAGGAAGTTGCACATCTGGAAACATTAAATTAAAGTCTAAAACTTGGATGTCGAATAATACGATCAATTTGCTTGAAAAGAGAAGAAACCTAGTCATATCAACAACATTTGACAAAGAACACAAACTAAGAAACATCAATAAAGAAATAAAAAACAGCTGTAGACAGGATAAAAACAAGCACGTCCACGAGATTTGCACAGAATTGGAAAGACACTCGGCAACTAACGAATCTAGAGAGCTATTCAATAAGGTAAAATATCTCTCTCGTGAGTTTCAACTACGTACACAAATTATACAGGATGAAAATGGTCGAAAGATTACTGATCCGGATGGTATTGTTGAAGTCTGGCGAAAGTACTGCACAAAGCTTTACGAAGATGGTGAATCTTCTAATAATAATAATCGTCCCAACCAATTCGAACATGAACCGGAGATCCTTAAATCAGAAGTTGAACACCCCTAAATCGTCTCAAAAAAAATAAAGCCCCAGGTATAGATGGTGTAGCTGCTGAGATATTAAAGTCAATAGGGCAACCGGTAATTGATGTTATTCATTTCATATGCAATCTGATTTGGAAGACGGGAATTTGGCCAGACGACTGGTGCAGCTCGCTATATATACCACTATATAAAAAGGGTAATCCGGCAGACTGCAATAACTATCGAATGATTGCTTTAATTCCTCATGCATGCAAAATTCTCCTGCAGATTATTAACAACAGACTCAGGCCATATCTACTACCACAGATTGCAGAAGAACAAACTGGCTTTATGCCTGGTAAGGGTACCAGAGAACAGATAGGGAACGTACGACAGTTAATAGAAAAAGCGCGAGAATTCAACATAGAAATGTATCTCTGTTTTATCGACTATTCTAAGGCCTTCGATCTAGTCAAGTGGCAAAAACTTTGGCAAATACTCAAGGAAATGGGGGTTCCTGATCACCTTATTCTACTTATCCGACAACTATACCAACATAATTACGGACTTATAAGAATTAATGATGTCACATCAAATAGATTTCAAGCAATGAAGGGTGTCAGGCAGGGGTGTGTTCTCTCACCCCTATTGTTCAATATTTATACCGAGTACATAATGCGTGATATTCTCGATAACTGGCAAGGTGGAGTATCTGTGGGGGGAAGGAAAATCAATAATCTAAGATATGCCGACGATACACTAATCATAACATCAAGTGTGGAAGAAATGGAATTTATTATGCAACGTCTCCAAGAAACTAGTACAGAATTTGGGCTAAAACTTAATCCTAACAAAACTACTGTCATGATTGTGGACCGACAAAACAACAACCAACCTCACGTGGGAAACATAGCTGGATTTAAGGTGGTTAATAAATACTTATATCTGGGATCGCTAATCGACAACAGCGGCTCATGCGAAGGCGAAATAAGACGTAGAATTGCGCTGGCTAGAACAGCCGTAACTAAATTAACTAAGATATGGAAAGATACAGCCATCACTAAGAACACCAAACTAAGACTGCTGAACTCGCTTGTTTTCCTGATTGCTACGTATGGGCGGAAACATGGACGCTGAAGAAAAGCGATACCAGGCGAATAGATGCTTTTGAAATGTGGGCATATAGACGTCTGCTACGTATACCTTGGACAGCCCATCGTACGAATGAGTCAGTTCTCCAAGAACTAAACTCACAACTCAGCCTCTCAAAAAAAATAAACCGATGTTTTCTGACATATATTGGTCACATTGCTAGAAGAACGGACTCACTGCAGCTGCTAATAGTCGAGGGAAAGGTAGAGGGAAAGCGACCACGAGGAAGATCACCCAAGAGATGTGTTGATCAAACTAAAGACCTAATCGGCCAAGGCCTTCATGAAACCGTCAGCATGGCTCAAAACAGAGCGGACTGGCACAATACGATAAAAACCGCTACAGGAACATCATAGTCACTAATCCCTCTTCAGGGAAACGGACCAAAGAGAGAGAGAGTATGGTGAAATATGGTGAAATTTTGTATATCATATTTTTTGTTTGATGTTGATTTTTCATTGGCTTACCCAGTGAGCATTTTATTCCTTTAAGGGAAATGTGTCTTAGGTGACGTCGTTGTTATGTCACCAGGGCCTTCTGCCTGGTAAAAATAAATAAAGCGCACATACTGTTCCCTAAATGTGACAAAACTTTGCTTATTGGGTAGTATGTGTGAAAATGAATTTTGAAATGAAGAGTATTTTGTATATTGAAGAACGCTCGCGTTTTATATTGCTTAGCTATCCTTCTTATTTTTTTTCTGAAAATACTTTTCTGAAACACTCAAAAGACTTTTAATTGTTTTCGGTCACTTTCGGTTTCACCGGAAATGACAACAACTTTTGATTTTTAAAGACACTCTCGGTATTTTTTCACTCTATTTTATAAAAAAATACATTCTATATAGAATGGTAATCATATGTCACCTTTTGGCATTTTCAATTAAAAAAATAGCATTTTAAAGTTTAATTTAGAGTGCTATGGCCATAAATGTAATGACAATTTGACTTGAAATACCAAGTGTGAGTTAAATACGATTTGGGCATATTTTAACCGGCCAGGACAAAACACAAAAAAACATTAGACGATCAATTCTATTTTCCAAGACTCCTTGATTAAAAATTAGAATTTTTAACATAGCTATGGCACCAGATTGAAATTTAAAATACGACTCTTTCAAACGAGAATGTTAAAACTTGACATAAGATAAGTCATTCTATTCAGATTGTCATCTTCTCTCCAATAATGTAAAAAAATACCGAAGGTACCAAAAAATCAAAAGTTGTACTCATTTGCGGTGAAACAGGAAGTGATCAAAAACCATTGAATATGTCAATCAACCCTAATTTATGTCAAATACTAATGTACTAACTTTCGTTTATTTATCTGAAAAAATAAAAGAGTTGTAGTGGTGAGCGTTGTGCGACTTGCAATTTCTTTGTGATGTCCGTTTAAAGATTGATTCTCACTATACCTTCCTTTTCCATTCCATATCCATTCCCTATCCGTTCCGTATTTTTACTGGATTGACGCTATACGTAGGCTTCCCTTCCGTATCAGTTCCATACTTTTTATTGTACAATTTATATCATTAGTAAAGTTTTATTTAAAAAATTTGTTTCTTTTGTAAACCGTAACAGATTTAATTAAGAGGTGATAGAATGAATAAATATCAACAAAATTTTAACACAGTTGGTACAAATTTAAAAACTTGACAACGCTGTTTCCGATACGCTTCAGTCCGTCCGCCAAAAAATGTATGGAAGGAAAGGATATGGAACGGAAGGGAAACGGAACGGATAGTGTGCATTGTCCTATCCATTTAGAGGATATAATATTTTATGTAAACGGAAGGGAGACGGAAGGGAGCTGATATGGAAGGTATAGTGAGAATCAACCTTTAATTGTCCAGGTTTTGCATGCATAGGGTATGACATACCAGTCGGTAGTACAAATTGGTCGAATGTTTTCTTCTTTAGCTAGAGTGGCATTCTAGATTTGAATATGATTAAGTTTCTTCCATAAGTACTCCATGCTAACTTAATTTCTTCTGTTGATTTCTGGTAGTAGAGATCCGGAGCTGTGTATTAGTTGTCCTAAATATATATATTCTTCTACTATTTCCAGTGTTGTGTTATATATTAGAATGTTTTTTCTTTCCACTAGTTAGTTGTACATTACTTAATTTTTGCTAAGTTTATTTTGAGACCCATTTTATTGCTGATTGTATTTAGTTCATTAATTTGTGCTTGTAATTCTTCAGGACTATTGGAAATTAGGACTATGTCATCAGCGAATTTTAGATGGTTAAGATACTCTCCATTTATTTTTAATCCTTTGTTGGCCCAGTCCAGTTGACGGAAGATTTCTTCTAATGTTGCTGTAAACAGCTTTGGGGATATCGCGTCTCACACTCGTACTCCTTTTCCAGTTGGGAACTCTGGAATTGTTTTATATAACATAATTCTTTCTTTGGCTTCTTTGTATATATTGACGAGACTTTCTATATAAGGCTTAGAATTTTTTTTTAGAATTTAGAATGAGTGGGAGGGGGGTTAATCACTTCGACCTTACAGATCCATTGTGTCCCCCTTTTTTGAA